AGAGAGGCCTGTAATTGGCATCATAGGTAGACCTTAACTATGAGAGACAAAATGAGAAAACAAATCCAGACAAATCACATTGGCAGATTTGGAACGAATTTATTTGCAAATTATGGTGGAAAATAAGTATTTTTTTTTCCACCATAATTTGCAAATAAATTAGTTCCCAAATCAGCCAATGTGATTTGTCTGGATTTGTTTTCTCATTTTGTCTCTCATAGTTGAGGTCTGCCTATGATGCCAATTACAGGCCTCTCTCATCTTTTTTAAGTGGGAGAACTTCCACAATTGGTGGCTGGCTAAATACTTTTTTGCCCAACTGTATAAGACTGGCTATTTTTATACAACTACAAATTAGGAAAAAGGGTCTTAAAAAGGGCCTTCAGACTTGTCTGTTTTCATATAGTAAAACACATGAATATTACTTTATAATGGATTTCATGTAAAAATATTATTTCCTCGGTGTCTGGTTCACATACAAAATAAAACATTAACATTTATTAGGATTAAAAGACCATGGGACTGAATTATAATGAGTTTGCAGCACATTACTGCCACTAGATGGAGCTGATGAACTTGGGAAATTCCTATGCTCATTGGCTCCATCTAGTGGCAATAAAATTCTGCAAACGCCTTAAGAATTATTTGAAATATTTAACATTATTTAAATTAAACAAAAATGGTCTTAAAATGTAGTATACATACGTTTTTGTGCATTGCTACCCTCTCTTATGGGTAAGGAAATGTGTTTTGGCATAGTAAAAGCTGCTGTGTACTAATATAAGTTTTCATCTCTGACCTCTGAATTTGCCCGGGTCCTTTAGTTTACCTGCTGTGGCGACGGTATAAGTTGAAACATGCAGATCACAGTACATACTGTATGTTGCCTGCACAGCATCATATGAAGATGAATATATAATGAATGTATATATACGAATGTCACAAGTAACTGTAATGTTTTAGGTATAAGTGACTATGTACAAAGTAAACACACTAAAATATCCAAGAAAGCCATAACTAATAAAAACGGTAATAGTGCGGAATATGTGCCTACAAATACCAAAGTTGAGTTTATGTCACTCCCTTCCCACCATTTTTTCTCATTTAAATCAGTTATTTAATTTAGTTACCCCATATATGTGGATCTGATCTAATATTTGTTGAGCAGGGATAATACACAGATTTAACAGGAGGATTTCGTATTTATTTGCTACTTTTGAATAATATTGTTGGCATATTTATTAGCAAATGTATCATCTTCAGTGTTTACGTTACACTTACCTTTGGAGCCACAAACTGAGATACTTTATTTACAACCCACTTTGGTAATGAGCCTTCAAAAAAATAAACAAAAATAGTCAAAAGTTACAGTAGCAATGCATTATACTGATGTAACCACCATGATACACATTCTAGTTACAGAGCATGCAAATAGTGCCATCTAATGGTCAAAATTCCTAAGTGCAGTATGCACAGTATTTACAGAGTTCTTATGAAACATCAGAAATGTTATATATTCGTGTTTGCATTATATGAATAAACTCTTTTATCCCAGAATGGCATTTTTTTTAAATTAAAAAAAATGCACAAAAAACAAATAAACCCTCAACAATGTATAGTTATAGGGCCATGTGCATGCAAACTCTCCTGTATGCTGACTTCCAAGTCATGTGCTTTTTAGCACCAGGCATGTACTTTAAGAGAGCGGTTATAAAATAGCCTTCCTCAAAAAAAACACCAGCCCAGTGGATTATGCGGGCATATACTGCAAAATGGCTCATGCAAACTCAAACTGGAAAAACATTCACCATGGCACAAAAAAACAAATAAAATTTAGATCATTTACATTTTTGTTTTTAGAAAATGAAGATAGAACTTCCCTCCCTTATTCACCAATTCATTTAAAACAGCAACAATAAGATGGGTCTTAAAACATCCAAAACACCCTTTCCTGCTCCCTGCTTTTCTCAACTCTTGCTCTCATACCACATCATGGGGCTGCTTATATGATTATAGCAGGCAGACCCTCCCACTTAGCAGTTCTTAGAATAGCCTGTCACTATTTGCTGGAAAAAAAAAACAGGATAGAACTTGGAATAAGATTTATTAAAATAACAGCAAAGACTAACTGACATGAACCTTCTTTTCCCTCAAAATGTTTCACCTTGTGCCATGCATATAAGCCCCCTTGTACTCCCTACCGCCAGCTATGGTGCAGAACTGTCTGATCCCTATTGTTTCATGCACCTCCCCTGGAATTACCTACATACTGTGAAGGGCATACAGGCCATTTCAACTAGGACGGGGGAGCTCACATGCTTATTGCCCTATTTTGAGGATACTAGTCCCATCCAAATGGTGTGTTAGGATGATATCCTTCGCAGGGGGAAGTATGGGGCCACACATCCTTTTGAGTTAGGAAAACAAAGTTCAAATACTAGTGGGGGACGACTGGGTTTGTGAAAAAAAACACCTTCTGACCTGCAAATCCGCCCAACCAGATTAAATCTCAAACCCAGTGGATCAATTTCTAATGATTATCATTGTTAACAGTACTTAGATAATTAGATGGATTCGAAAGCGGATATATAGTGTTCTGGAATTACCTTTGGGGTCGACTTGTGTAAGGTAATAGAGAACGCAGCTGTTTTCCCCATTGGCTTTAATGAGATATCCAGTCTGCAAGGAAACTGCTCTCACAAAGTCCTTGCGAGGAGGATGTTTCTACAAAACAGAAAATGTTTGAGTTACAGTTAGTCGGGCATCCAAGATGTTTTAAATATTAGCAGTAATATGTGTGATTTTTTTCAGGCTGTATTCTGTAACTCCTAAGGGCTAATAAGCGTGCAGGTGAATGGTCTGCCTACGGACATGTTTTGAGGCTCCTGTTACATATATAGTATGAAGAGCTCTTAAAGGAAATGTAAACCCAATCACCTAAATATCATATAAAACCTTTACATGTTATTGCTATTTCAAAAGTTTTTTTTCTTTTTTTTTTAAATCTGCAACTTTCATTAAAATTATACACTGTACAACATTGGAAGAACCAAGTGTTTTGTTTTGTTTATTTGGGCAAAAATGACATGCAAAATGTCTTTACCAAATAAACTTTTGTCCCACGCTTCTTGTAATTATTATTTTCGAACGTGCATCCCAATTCATTCTCCGCATGCCAAGAATAGAATCGGGCAACAAGGATAATGTTACTTGTGTGCATGCATAGGAGATACATGGTCAGTGGCCACCCAATGGCCAAAGAGAAGAGTAACAGGACCCAAAAAAAGTGGTGGGGGAGATGGAAGTGGTTTCAAATGAAGCAGCAACTGGGGCCCCGACATGTCACCACTGGAGGAGGCCACATAGAGAGGGTAGAGTGCCATAATGTGCAAGTACTACTGTAAATACATGCACATTAATGGCAAAAGTCCACCCACACACAGCAGAATGTATTTCCACTTTTTGTTCAGTTATACTATGACAGGGGTTCATGTGTGGATTTTTGAATGGCAACCCAGAAGGTCTATGAATTGTGAATCTCATTTTAACATATCTAATTCCTTGCTGGTGATCCTAGGGCCAATGACAGAACAGCGTTTCCAAGCCACAGATTTGAACTCCTGCCACAAGACACCATGTTATTTGGAATGAATTCTTATGGCACAGTGAACCTGGCACAGAACATCTGTGCTCAGTGCTTAAAATAATGTACGTTTCACTATAACTACCAACAAGTATTATCTACCCCTAACCATTATGGTCAGTCTTGTGCTGGCAATACACATGCTAGTTTCCAGGTAATTTCTACACTTTCAACCAACATTCAACTGTAAAAAGGAAACAAACTGATCAAGGCAAACTATCATTAGGAGTTCAGATTGTTTCAGAGTTTATACAGAATTTCTGTCATCAAAAGCTGGATGATCGTTGTTAACGGTACCTGGAAACCATAACCTTTTAACCTTCTAACTCTCAACTTGCCCATAACCCAAAATTAACCTCCAATGTAATTATATTTTTTTCTGGCAACTGCAACCATTCTTGCATCACAAAAATGACCATATGGATAAATACACTAGCAACAGTTTCTACTGGAACCTCAGAACTAGGGATGCATTGGTACCGGTATTTTGGTGCCGAGTACCGATCATTTTTTTCCGTTAATCGCCGATAACAATTACCGAGTAACGGAAGTCCATTCAGGAAGCCAGGTGGCGTGTAATGACTCGCCACCCGGCTTCCCGATTAGCCGGGAAGCTGGGCAGCATGTAAAGACTCGCCACCCGGCTTCCCGATTAACAAGAAAGTCCGCTATTACCTTGGTATGTCCAGCTTGTCAGCCCCGGGGCCTCTCCAGCGAGAACACGGCCTTTCTCCGGTACCCAGCCAGAGCCGTCTAGCCAGCCAATCAGGAAGCCGGGCACCGTGTAATGACGCGACGCCCTGCTTTCTGATTGTCCTGGGAGGCCGGCTCCATGCTCCCTCGTCATGAGATGACAAGGGAGCATGAAGCCAGCTTGAAGCCAGAAATACTAAGGTAAGGTAACCTTACATCACTAGGACAAGGGAGCACGAAGCCAGCTTCCTGATTGACCAGCTTCCCGACCAATCAAGAAGCCAGGCAGCGCGTCATTACACACTGCCCGGCTGATTGGCTGGGATGTCGGCCCCATGCTCTCTCATCACAAGTGACGAGAGAGCATGGGGCCGCTTCCCGGCCAATTAGGGAACCGGGCAGCGTGTAATGACG